CCCTATCCTTCCTCAGATCCTCAGGTGAACACAGACTGAGCAGCTGTGAAGCTCTTGATTCAAACCCCACATCCTGTTTACTAGTACTCTGGTTTTTATGTTTTAAATACGTGGGGATGTCTGACCTTTTCACTTGAGGTGATGTATGTGCCAAAGGAGGGTACGATTGCAGCACAGGGTGATGTTCCAGTGCAGCCTTGGCTTTGGCCAGCCTGGCTGGCAGTGACAGATATCAGTGAGGGGTGTTGAGACCCTCTGCTTCAAGTGTCTGTAGCAGTACCTTTCCCAATGTGCTCTGCACACACAGAACCCCACCTTCACTTGCTGGTAGGTCGCTCTGATTCCCTATGCTTCCAGTGCTGAGGAATTTTGCCCTGTTTTTTTTCTTGCTTAAATTGGATGGAAAGTGGTATTTTGGTAGGTTTTTCTGTGATTGCTGCTTTCCTTCTCCTTTTGCTGGTATGTGTCTTGGAGAGTTCATACATCTTAATGAAATTATGCAAAGGGGAGGTGTTGCCCAAAGGAAAGGAGAAGGTGAGGGGGGGAAAAATACATCAGCTTCCAGAAATAACATGGAAACCATTTTATTTTTGTCTGTAGCCCTGAAAGCCTGTTCTAGGTGGGTAAATTGGAATTATTTGCAGTCATACGCTGAAAAGACAACATAAGTGTATGAGTATCTGCGAGGAACACCCACCTGAGTGGGACCCAGAGAGAGTTCTGGTGTAGCTGGGTTTTTCCAGGGGACAGGCACTGGGATGGCCCCTTGCAAATGCCATCTGATGAATCATGCTGTTCTGGGGCGGTTGTGGAGCAACCTTTGGCTCCGCATCTGAATTCCACTGAGCAAGCACAGCGCAGGAGAAATTCACTGTGCATAATACAAGGAGAAAGCTGGAGCCAGGTTCAGGCTTTATCTATGGCATATCCGTTTCCAAACCCCAGTGTTTTGCATGCAGGAATGTGGCAGGAGGCTAGGCAGACGGATGGCTTTGTGGAGCACTAATCCTGGCACTCAGAAGCTGGCCCTGTGTATCTGGGCCTAACGTTATGTCAGATGCATGTCTGCATTTGGTTTTTGCCTCATATTAAAATACATAAGCACATATCCCTCATGCTGTAGCTCTCTGTAGCTGCTGGAGATGTAACTGGGAGAAGAGAGAGAAAAACAAAGGGAGATATATCTCAGCCACAGGGAAGATCTGGATTAGAGCCTGTAACAAAGCCAGTTGCCAGTGTCCAAGGCTGGAGTGACTGAGCTGGGTGGTAAATGTTGGCAGAAAAGGGAAAATGTATGAATTTGTTGTGTTTGAATCCTGATTCTGACCTTTCTGTCCCAGAATGCTGAACATGTATCACTTAGCAGGGAAGAATACAAATCTTCACGTTTCACTCCTGTAGCTACCAGCTTTGTGCAGGGGAGTCTCAGCATTGCAGGGGGTGAATCCATTAACCTGGCAGAAGCTGAGGTTATGTGTCCCTTGGTAGCAAAAATAGGTGAGAAAAGCTGCCTTCAAAGTCCCCATCATGCCCCAATGCTCATTTCTGCCCTGATTCAGATATTTGTGCGGCTGCACATGAACTGGATGAAAGAATGAGATTTTAAAACGCCCTTAAAAATGGGGGGGGGGAAGGGGGAGGATTGTTCACCCTATGCAGAAAACCTGTGTTGTGCATCTCTATTAAGAGCTGTAGTTGTGGTTAGATGAGGTTATCTGCACTTAAAGTGCTCCTGGATTGGGACCACAGGCAATGAGGTGTGTTGGAAGTGCATACACAGGAGGTGCATGACCCTGGAGCATGGAATCGAGTGAATCTGTGTTTCAGTGGGATTTTTGAGAGGCAGCCAGTGCGGGTTTCAAAGTGCTTTCAAGTATAGCAGAGGAGATGTTGACAGACACTGCGATCCTCACACTGATGAATGTGCTCAAGATGTGGAGAGCATCTCCACTTTCATGCCAGAACGTGAGACCTGGAGTAACAAGTGTAATGGAAAAGGAGGAGGAGGAGGAGGAGGCAAAAGCTGATACTGAGCAGATGCTTTCTGTCATTTTCTGGGTGAGCTGCGTTGGGCTCAGCAGAAGCAGCTCTCTCCTGGTAAGGCAGAGGAGCAGAGCAGGCAGTTACCAGGGCAAGAAGTCGCTTTTCAGACCCTGGAGTGAGCTTCCCAGGGCAGAGCTGGAGGGCTGCAAGATCCCCAGTGCCAAGCCACTTGTCTCTCTGTGACGCTCACCTTTTGCAGTGCATAGGCCTACCCCTGACTCCAGACCAAGGCTCTAAAGCAGGTTTAACAGTGCAGTTACTGAGCTAACAGTGTGTGTAATTATCACATGCTTCACAGAAACCAGAATGTTTGGATGTGAAGCTTCTCAGTGAGGATTAATTCAAAACACAACAAATGGAAAACACAAAGCATTAATTCCAGTATTATGTTTTCAGATTGTACAAAGCAAACACTGCATGCACAAACCTGATCCAGAAACATGCATCATGTGCAGGTTTGATGAGTATGGAATCCTAAAGTGTTTGCTGAGACTTCTGAACCCCTTGAAGTGCATGGGAAATAGCATGCATGCAGACTGAGAAAGGGAATGTAGCTATTTTCTTCTCTTACACAATTTAAAGGATGCTGCGTATGTTCCTTTACAAAACTATGCAGTGATTCCCCTATAAAATGTCAGTAACCTGGAAATAAACTGTTGCATGGAAGTTTGACTGTGTGCCATGGTGTACACACTACATCACAGTCCCAGCAACACCAAATGGCAATTTTCCCTTCTTGCACTACGGGAAAATGCCTTCTGCAGATGTAACTTTCACCAGCATACCACAGTGTAAAGGGGAAAATGCCGGGCACTCTCATGGCAGGATGTATTGGGCCATGTGGAATTTGTTCCTGGAATGAACTCCTTTGGAAACATAGTAAAAAAAAATAAAAAGTGAAATGTTATGTCAAACCATATGTTGACATTCTGGTGATTCTATCACACAACTTGTAGCAGTGTTTGCTCTACACCTCTGCAGTCTGACTCGAGAGCATGGAAACCTGAGTTTTAAATAACAGTAAGTTAAAAACTAGAAAAAGCATTGCTCAGAGTCACACTGAAAAGTTCAAGACTAAAGCCCAAAAGAAAAGGCTCAGAAAGTGGCCTGCAAATGCAAATAAATATACCCTCAACTTTATTTTTCCCCCCTCTTTTCACTTGAATTCTGTGTGAGTTCCCAGTAGCTTTGAGGATGGAGCAGAATTCCCACCTTTCTGAACAGTTCCCATATGAAGCTCACATCCTAAACTCTTCCAAAGCTTACTGCAGCAAAAGGAAATGTGGCCTCTTCTACCCTTTTCCCTAGGAAAGCATTAACAAGTGTGCTGCTATATCCCACTAACTGTACAGAGAGAGGTGGCCACATGTCAGAGTGGACATGGCAGCCTGCTGCGTGTATTTTTCTGCTCCTACGGCAGGGATGAGTGTTCTGTTTCTGAAGGGACTGCCTGGAGTAGATCCTCTCCCATCTGGGGCTCTCCTTTCCAGGCATCTCTTTCTGTATCAACCCCATGGATTTGCCTATACAAACTATAGTCACAAGGAGGACTAGAGACCAAGATCTTTGGCCTTAGAAGTCCTCAGCCACTTGAGCTGTATGAAGTAAATCACCCAGTTAGTTATTTTTTCCCTAGAAGATGGCATGCTTTTTCACATGTCTCTGGTTGGACCTTCTTGTTTTCAGCACAGTAACAGTATCCTAGTTAATGGTGACTTTTATTTTCAAGGGGCACGTATATGAACATGACTCTATACTCTGAGATAAACTGCTGCTGTGTGCTGCAAGTGTTATTTATCTTCATGGGTTTTTATCTTGGAACCTCACAGTTTCTCAGACATGCTGCTTCTATCTAAAAAGTGTTTCAAATGTATGTGCACTGGCCAAACTTTCTAGGAAAACAGTGTGAATAGACCCTTGCTGTGAACAGCATGTTGCTATTTCAGCTACTCTCTCTGCATGAGGGAGGGCATCTGCATAAACTCTATTTAAATACAAAGTTTCTGGGTTTATGCCCTTTCTGGTACATAAGCACCTATACCAAAGGGTTGAAAAATATTGGCAATGAACATGTACGTTTGTGTTATACATCTTGTTTGTTTTTTTGTTTTTAAGGACAGTGAAGGTCAGGCGGGGTTTGGCAGAGGCATCTCTAACATGGAAGCAAATGGGCATGTAACAGGCAGCTAGAGGAAGTGCTCCAGGACATCAGTGAGCTGACTGACAGTGGAAGGGCAATGAGCAGTAAGTCTAGTTCAGTCTTTGTTCAGGGCACCTGCACAGCTCTGACTCACCCAGTATGGAGGCAAACAGCCCTACACATCCCCAGCAGCACTTCCCTGCAAGATCACATCGTCACTGGAGCTAGCCTCCAAGGAGTGTAAAGTAAAAATAAGTTGTAAAGCTAAAAAGCAATAAGCATAATTGCTCATAAGTGTTTGCATGCAAGAAAAGTGAGACACTTCACTGATAATTTGCCAATTACCAATAAATTGCTCTGCAAAGATCCTTTTCCCTCTAAGGCTGTGTAATACTGAAGCGGATATTCTCTCTCTATCTCAACAAATTGCAGTTAGAAACCATGCCAAGACCCAGACCAAAGCCTGAAATGGGTTCTGCTACTCTCACTTCTGTGTTCCACGGTGACCCCAAAATTACAGCAATTACGCTGTCCAGCAAGAGCCTACTGCTGCTTGTTGGATGCTGACGGGGCTGCAGCAGGGCCATGGCAGCACACGATCTCCAGCAAGACTGTGCTGTGGCACATCTGAAAGCTTCTGGTCTTTCCTGTAAAGGAGTTATACGAAGAAGTTTGTCAAGTTTGATTGACTCAATCTGTATTCTCAGTGTTGTTGGGGAGTGGTGGTTGGTTTGGTTTGTTTTGGTTTTTTTTCCCTGTAGGGAAAGATAATGTGATTAATATGTTTCTGCATTAGGATGTTTCCACTCCCTCCTGCTGAATTTTAGGGCATTTTTTATTTGTGTTGTACAATATATACATCCAAAGGCCATAATATTTCAGATTTGGAAATCCCGTATGACAGCTCTGATTTATGCTGGGATGACAGACATAAGAGCCCACTGAAATCAGCATGGCTCTGGATGGTTACCATGGTTCTTCTGTGAGGCTCAGATGGAATTATCTGCTTCTGTGTTAATATCTAAGAAGAAACAAAAGGAATTAGAATTCATGTTCTAGAAAGAATCCACGCAGTTTTCATGTTCCTGCCCCACTCTCCATCACCCTGAAACACAAAGAAGGCTATGTCTTGAAAACGTCAAGAGTCAGTGGAGATTATGTTAAAAATTATATATGCCACTGCTGTGATTGCTGTTTTAATGGCACTGGAGAGATGTGCTGTTGGAGAGGTGTGTTCCTATAGATTTAAATATTATGGCAATCACTGCTGCTCTAAACAGAGTTAAGGGACAGAGAGATTTCATCAAAGCCCAGAAGATCCCCTTTCCCCGTTACTCTCAATAAGATAATTCACCTCTAATGCAATGAAACACACAGGATTTGTTAGTGTTAGACCTTCGCAGTTGCTAGTAGCTGGTTGCTAGCCACTGTTAGCAGCAATTGAGAGTTATTTCACAGAATTTCTTCAGGTTTTAGACAATGTTTTAAATGAAAGAGTAGCAGAAAACACAGCACTTGCAAAGAGGAGGAGAGGGTGTGGGTAGTTACGGTACAGAACTACAGAAGAGCTGTATTTCAAAATAACCATGCTGCTGTGTGTGCTCAGAGAAATCACTGATTGTTCTCTTATCCCTGTACTGCCCTGAAGAATTTACCAAAAGAAGAAAACAAGCCCAAGGAAGCAGTAGAACGTGCATTCAAGAGCAGAACAGGATTGCACAGCGTGATTCTACAATGAGCGGAAACATCCATGTTTTGGATCATCGAGAACAAATGAAGTACAATGCTGCTCTGTTCCCTTTCTCTTCTTATGTCTCCATTTTGCTTTGCTTTGCTTAGCTTAGGTTTTTTCCTTTTAGGAGCCCTGCAGGGAGGAAAGAAGGAGCCTTTGTTTTAAAAAGCCTGAAACCAACAGTGGCCCATTGATCATAATTAAGTCTAAAATAATACGCTTAGCTGACCTGTTTGTATTGAATCAAAAAAATTGTATGTTGTACCTGCTAGAGCCCTGGTCTGCCTCCAGGATCCAGTTTCTTCTCCCTGAGCTTATGATTCTGGGACAGTATACTTTAAAAGCCCCAAAATGCCCTGTGTGTTTGGAAGGCTGCACGTGAAAGCACCTCCTGTTCTGTCTGGTATCTGAAGTGCCTGTTGGTGTGAGAACAAATTCTTCATAACTGGTTGTTCTCTTTGTCACATACCCTCTTCTCTTTGACGGACTGCTGTCCCCATAACAACCACCTCTGCTGTCAGCAACTTTCTCAGATTGGTGAAAGGACACACAGGATAGCAGTAATTCTCATCATGACATACGAACTGTAAGTAAACTTTCCATGTTGTGCACGGGCCCAGCTGGGAGCTTCCTGAATGCTTTATGAACCTCTCTGCTGATTTAAACTATCATTGGTTTCTTCAGGGGCTGCTTCCAACCTTTTGCAGTGAGAGTTTTAATATGACAAAACATAGAGGCTTAACCTCTCAGTAGTCTAGTATGCTTTAAGAAGTAGATATTCTGATGGATTAGTCACAGAATAAATGTGGTTTAGGAGGAGATTAAAAAAATAAAAAATAAAAAATTATGACTTTCTGGCATCAAGTCCTTTATCCTACAAGTGTGAGGTGCCTTTGTCCTGCTTCTGCCCTGTCTTTAGAGACCCACATCGCACACGCAGGCAGCATGCACAGCTTGATCTTTGTTCTATGGGTGAGTGTTCAGGGAACTCCCCCTTCAAGTGTCTCCAGTACCTGTTTGCCAGACTGCTCATTCAACTCACCAGCTAGTCTGGCATAGAGTTCATGAGCAGATCACATGCACAGACATGGAACTGTGAACACGGTCACAAGGAAAACAGTTAAACCCAGAACTTAAAAACATGGGACAGGCAGTGCCAGTAAGTCACAGGGTTCAGCCATACAACCGTATTGACCAGCAGCCTGCTTATATGCAAAACAGTTCTTTTTATTCCCCCTCTCCAGTCCACTTCAGTCTGTTTTGTTCCTCCCTTCCTTGTCTTTGGCCTTTCTCCCAAACATTTCACAATAATCCTGTATCATTTTAGCAGTCTCCTGTTCAACCCTGGTGTTTCCCTCTCAGACACTGCATTATAAATCCTGTTTCCTTTATGTAATAGTCCCCTTAGGTTGCACCAGAGTTTCATCTGCTGAATCCTTCCACAGGGTTTGCAAATCTTCACTTTTGATAGTCCCCTTGGCAGCTGATTCAGATGAATCATGTATCCTGGGTATTTATGTTTATTTTGAATAACCATTAGCCAGATATTCTTACCGTGATCACAAATCTATCTATCCATTCTGCATGATTTCCTCCCTTCAGAACTGCTTATTCAATAGCACTGTCATTAGCCATCTCATTTGGCCCAGCCAACCGCATTGGAAAGGGGTGAGAATCCACTTTAGTGCATTCCTCAGCAACTGACCCTGCAGCGTGCATTGAGATGAACTTTACAGTTCTGAATGCTGTGTCTTTCAGGCTACTTGGGAAAACCAGTTTATTCCTAACACATTTGTACTGCGTGGTTACCTAGGCTAGCCTTTGGATACTGTACATGTATATGCTATTTCTTTTAATTCCATGTATCTTTTATTTTGCATGCAGCAAAATGTGTTCTGGTTCACAAGAAGGGTACAGCTACACCCAGCAATGCAAAAAAGGCTGCTACACTGCAAACATGAGGCATACAGCCCTGAACGTGTAGGGGAATGTCTGTTGTATAAATCTCACAATGCAAGAAATCTGTCTGGCCCTTAGGAGGGTGCATGTGTAAAGGGATGGATCACAAACAGGTCTGTATGGGGGCTGTTTGGACCTGGAAAGCATGACGTACCAGTGGTAAAGCTGAAGGAAAGATTCCCTTTGGCAAGGAATAAACTTCTCTGCATGTATTTATCCGCAATGCTGGGGGCGAGAAGGCAGCAGAGCTCCCAAAGGAGAGGGACCAGGAGCGAGCAGTGCCGACTGCCGAGCTCTCCCCTCGCCGTAGCGAGCCTGAAGCTCGAGTACATTCGCGTCTGCTGCCATCCAGAGCTCGGGGAGGGAAACTGGTTGCTCTCCCTCAGCTAGCTTTTCCCTTAATACAGAACTGGGACTCTGGAGGAGTGCAATCTTCCTGTCCTGCCATGGGGATTTTACTACTTTTCAGGTGGTCGGAAATGGGAGGGGTTTGATGCCATCCTGTCAGCCACCCAAGACCAACAGAAGCTCTGGAAGCCCTGTTTTAACAAAATCAAACCCCAGCAGACAGTGGCTTTGCCCATCCTTACAGCCTGAAAGTTCACCCACACCTTGTCATCAGGGACACGTTCCCAGCTTAAAATTGTAAGGAAATAAATACTCTGCATGCAACCTTCACCCAGGGCTTTGCTTCTTCTCCCCCACCCGTGGTGTCAGGGGCAAAGTCAGTTTTGCCCTCAAATACGGGGCTGCTCAGACGAGCAGTGTTACCTCACAATTTCAAATGCAAGTCTGTGTTTACCCTTAGCCTGTTCCAGTGTTTCAGTGCAGCCTGTTACAGGTGCTGAAACATTTTTGTCTTAGGAATGACAGATAAACCACTGTTGCACACATTCGGTTCACTGAAGGAGGTCATTACAAGGGTGGAATTGCTTAAATAAGCGTTTTATTTCATAACCCGGCTTGCACAGGGCAGCAGCCCGCCTTGGGAGCTGTCAAGGGCTCCTTACACCCATGGTGGTGGGGCTGCAGGGAACGACTTCAGGCTCACTCCCGCCAGGTGCTGCCTGACTCCTAGCTCTGCCCAAGGGCGGATTTTAGTCCTTGTGCACAGAGGGGAGTGTTTTCTGCAGCGGTCACTTCACCAAGGCGCCACGGGGTGTGAGTGTAAGGATAAAGGTTTGGATGTTTCACCACTAATAATCCCGGGTCACGCCTGACAGGCCCGGCTGCCAGAACGGAAAATGGCGGCTGCCAGGCCCCAAGATGGCCGCCGCGCAGCCCACTCCTCGTGACCGGGACGATGCAGGCACCCCGCGCTTCACGCGGCGTCGCCGCCGGTCATGGGTCCTGTCTTCTCATTGGTGGGCCTGCTCATGTGACGTGACCCGAGGCCAATCACCGCCCACCGTGGCTGCTCTGTTGCACGGCAGTCCCGCCTCTTCTTAGTGTGGGGGAAAGCGCCATTGACGGAAGCCGGAGCTAGTGCTGCCGTCGCCGCCGCCGCCGCCGCCGTCGTCGGCCGTCTGGGAGAACCAGGCCTGCCGCCGCCGCCGCCGCCGCCATGGACTACGGGGAAGGTGAGGGTGCACTCGTCAGAGCAAGGGTAGTGCCCGGCCACAGCCACTGCTGCCGCCGCGGGGCCCAGCCGTGTCTCAAAATGGCAGCGGCCGCTTTGTTCCGCGCAGGACCCTCCCCTTCATCCACCCTCCTCCCCGCCGCCCCTCCCGGGTCGGGAGAGCGGTGGCCGGCGGCAGGAGGGCTGCGCGGGACGAGGGCCTTCCCGGGGGGTGGTGCGGGCGGGATGGGCTGCACGGGAGGGGGTGGCCCTCGGCGGGGCGAGTGGCGGGAGAGGGAGGGAGGCGGGAGGGGGGAGGTAGGGGCGAGCTCGGGGCGAGCTCCGTGAGGGGGTCGTGTCAGGAGACTGGAGATCCGACAGGAGAGAGAGCCGCCTCTTGGTGCGGCTCCCTGTCTCTCCCCTCCGGCTCTTGCTAAGAACTAAGTCATTCTCACTGACCCATCCTCTCCAGCTGAAGACAGAGATTGGAGATTCCCAGATACCCCCATGCATTGTGGTGTGAACATGCCCAGTGGGTCAGTCTCAGGTATGAGCTATAAATACGTCTAACCTGTAAAAAGAGTTGGGGCTAAACAGTCAGTGTTGACAAAAGCAAAAGTAAAAAAAAAGTAAAATTAATTATAATTAAATAAAATATAATCAGACGGGTTATTGAAAGTACGTAATGTGGTTTGACTGAACATGTTGTTTTCTGGAGGAGTTATGATTGGCTGGGAGCGAGACTTGATTTTCATCTTGGGCATGTCAACATGAACTCCTGCACGTTTCAAATCAAACTAGTGAGATCAAGGAGTGGGGATGGGGAGGGGGAATACAGACTTTTCTCATGATTATGCTTTTTGCATAAATCAGTGTGTTGGTTTTTTGTGGAAAAACAAAAGCAAGTCTTACGGACTACTGTATTTGATTCTTATTGCTTCTGTTATTCACACAGATGTGGAAAAACAGAACTTGAAGCTGCTTGATATGTGGTTTGGGATTTTTTGCCATTTCTGTTAACATGGCATATGAACATGAAATGTCCACATTTCATATATGAAACATTTTCACATGAATATGAAATATATGGATAGGAACTATTTTAATATTTCATATGAAATGTGATACAGCAGATGCTAGGTCTTATTTTTATACTAACAAAAATACCACATAGATCCAACAAAAACAAATGCATATGTATTTGTAAGATTTATTAAGGTTATGAGTTAGTAAGACTCAAGAAATGTTTTGACATCTCCTGCTAGGATGCAGGCAGATACTAAAAGGATGTTAATATAAAAATTTGACCATAAGCTTCATTTACACGTCTCAAATAAGTGTTTGCTGTTGTATCTCTTGATAGTCTTGCTGACTGTTACACAGAAATAACAAATTGGATTACAGATGCACCTTTGATTGAAGTATGATCATTTTGATGGTACATTCCTTGAGTCTTAACTTGCAGCTTTTTTTTTTGCCAATCATGTTATTTGCATTTACTTTTCTTTGTAGTAAAATAAAGAGATGAATGCTGTGGCATTGCTGTTTTAACCTTCTGTATTGATTCCTAATATCCTCTATTTTTTTGGTAGAAAAGGTTTTCCTTAAATTGCAGTTTAAGTATCTTATTGGAATATTCACTGTAGCTGTTAAACAGAACCTGCTTTTCTGAGATGTGATGACAGTAGTATTAAACTGAATCCAGGCTCATCCTATGGGAAGTAACCATTAAAATGCATGTTGTACAGTTAGATTGTTCTTTTTCATACCTCTCTAATAATAGTTTTCATTGTGATAATTAAGCTTTCTATTATTCATAATTATTAAACCAGTTTAATTATGATGTATGCTGCTTAATGTCTCATGTTATTGTTTATACATTGTATGTACGTCAGTAAGGCATGCATAAAGCTTTGTCTTACTTCCATTCTGTACAGTGGGCTAAAGGCTGTTTTGCAGGGGTCCAGTAGATGGCAATAGAGGATGGATGTTGAGAGAGTTTTCATCTTTGCCCATTTTTGAGTTATTGGCATAGTTCTTCCTGTTGGAAACTTCTAGCCAGTGTGAAGCACTTTTTATTGGATGGCTGATGACTGCTGTAGATCTACTGTTCCCTGCTGGTGGATGGCTTGAGGCAGAGATGACATGGCCTGTAGAATAAATTCTGTTAATAGTGTGTTAATATTTTGATTACTGTAACTAGTGTCCTTTTAATCTGAAAGGGGAAAGGCCTTTTGCTGCTATTCCTAAAATTCATCTGCTTTGTTGGTTTGCTTCCTTGTTTTGCATAGGAT